TGAAAAGAACTGTTTTTTAGTACTAAAAAGTACTGATTTTTATTCTGAACAGAACTTTTTTTTAATACTGAAAATTACTGTTTTTTTTAGTACTGAAAAGTACTGTTTTTAGTACTGAAAAGTACTGCTTGTTTAATACTGAAAAGTACTTGTTTTTAGTACAGAAAAGTACTGCTTGTTTAATACTAAAAAGTACTGTTTTTAGTACTGAAAAGTACTGTTTTTTTTAGTTTTGAAAAGAACTGTTTTTTAGTACTGAAAAGTACTGTTTTTTATTCTGAACAGAACTTTTTTTTAATACTGAAAATTACTGTTTTTTTTAGTACTGAAAAGTACTGCTCGTTTAATACTGAAAAATACTGTTTTTTAGTACTGAAAAGTACTGTTTTTTTAGTACTGAAAAGTACTGTTTTTTTAGTACTGAAAAGTGCTGTTTTTAGTACTGAAAAGTACTGCTTGTTTAATACTGAAAAGTACTGTTTTTTAGTACTGAAAAGTAATGTTTTTTCGCACTGAAAAGTACTGTTTTTAGTACTGAAAAGTACTGTTTTTTATTCTGAACAGAACTTTTTTTAATACTGAAAATTACTGTTTTTTAAGCCCTGAAAAGTATTGTAACTGTAGCAACTGAAAGCAGGCCGACGGATGCAAGAAGTTTGAATTCCTGCGCCGGCCTCCACCAAAATTTAATTACTTATTTATCGCCCTCAGGATTGATGATCTACACTTTTTATAATTTTCCGAATAAATTTGAGATTAGAGCTTTTGTTGAAGCCATGACGAAAGAAAATCCGTGGAGTGGTTCGGCAGTAATTTTGATCGGCGTTTCGGGCCGTCACAATTATATATAAAGATGTTTTTTTCTATTTTTTTATCGGTTTCTTTTTTTTATATATCAATAATATAATAATTGTTGATATTATATAACATGTGGAGTGTCAAATGTGGTAAACCATCTTATCGTTTTGGCATCAACTCCGTTGTTCCGTTGAAGGTCTTGTGCCCTGCCCTGTTTTCAAGGGTAAAATCGCGACTACTTTCTTCTTTCGCGGCTGAGAATGTCTGAAACCCAGTTATTCACCGGCCATTGGTTATTATTTATTACTAATCGATACGCCTATGTTTCTCGTTTTTATTTACGCACAAAAACCACAAAGGCTATCACCACAGCCAGATACTCTGAACTGAAATGCCTTGGCAAAACGGAGGTGGTTGTCCCCAGACAGGTCTGCAGAGTAACGAACCTAACCACCACGATCCGGCCCTCTTATGCTAAAAATATGATTAAAAACTTAAAATGAAGTGGACGCGTAAGTTGACTGGATCGGCAGAAAAGCTCTCACGTTTTAAGCGCTCGGTGGACAGATGGCACTCAGAGGATCTTAATAAAAAAGGGATCATACTCAGTGGACTAATAATAGGCCATGCGAGGTCGACATAGACACGCATTTTTAGGTCAAAGCCCGGGTAGTCTCCGGCATGTAGAAGGTCGCTCTCTCTACGTCTCACATAATTGAAGAGTATCATTCCTTGCCTCCATAAAGAAAACGAGTATATGTAAGTAATTGTGTTGAGCACAGAAGCGAATATTTGGCTTGGTATATGTCTCGTCGTGATTGAGTGTATTTATTAGCGTGAGTGTGTAGTGTGACAGGGGCAATGGTAGAAATTGAGTACAATGTATATGTATAGTACGAGTGGTGGAGGAATGTGAAGTTGATATGAAATTAGTGAAAGAAGGTTTCTTCGGCTGATCTTATTAATTCTGATTGTCATTAATTAGCTTGTCTTATTAATAATTATTTCCTTCATGAAAAAATGAAAAAATTATTATTTTTTAAATCGGCTGTCGGCTGGCATAGACTTACACAAGCACTCTTTAATGATCTAATCTAAACACATAATCATTTTACATAATCTACACGAAAATCATATGCATAGACAAAAGAATTGCTGCATTTACCTAGGAAAAAACGGCGTTAACACTTAAATTGATAAGGGCTTTTTTCAAAATTCCAAATTTTTTTATAGCTTTCTTCAAAGGTATACAAACAAGCATTTATTTATTAATGACCCAATCGTATGAAGGTTCTACTCCATCTATTTTCATTCTCTCTCTCTCTCTCTCTCTCTCTCTCTCACTCTCTCTCTCCCTCACTCTCTCTCCTTTCCTCTCCTCTCCTTTAACAACATCTCTCTTTCTTTTAATTTAGACATCCAGTAGGAGAATTAATTTAATTTGTCCCATATTATCAGTCGCCCATGCTCTCTCTCTCTCTCTCTCTCTCTCTCTCTCTCTCTCTCTCTCTCTCTCTCTCTCTCTCTTTTCCTCTCCTATCCTTTAACAACATCACTCTTTTTTTTTTAATTTAGACAACTAGTAGGAGACAATTTAATTTGTCCCATATTGACAGTCGCCCATGTTTGGCGAGGACCTTAGCCGTCGAGCCATCCAATAATTCAATTAGCTTTTCTTTCGATAAGGTAAAATTCATAAAGTGCGGTTTACGATTTCACTCACGATCAATCATTCAGCAACAACATAATGTATAGCACGTGAATTTCAGAGCGAACAAATCCTGTCTCGTTTCCAGAAGCGATTCCTGTAATTCAGGTACAGTGTTTTACATCTAATTTACACAACTAAGGCCCATCAATGACCCCCGTTGTTAATATTAATTATATTCGCTTAAATTGAACAAACTTGTTTTTATGGGTGTTCCAAGCAATAACTCGTAATTTTGTAATAATTCGTTCAGCACAACGGTCTGAGAATCAATTTATTACATTGATCCCACGCCCAAAAAAATGTTTTTCTCACAAAATGCAAAATCCATTCGCACGTAACGTGACTTCGGTGCGTTTCGTTAATCACCACGATGAAATAAACCCGACAATTTACAACTTCCTACAATAGATTCCTTATCAAATTACGTTCTTGTATTAATGATCGAAACGTCTTATAGTGGATAGAAAGGAAAGTAGATAAGAGGAGAAAATATTATAAATAATATATGTTCATTTATTGGTGAGCTTTCGAAAATTATACCATTATATATTACATTGCCATTAGATAGATAATTTTACTTGCAACATTATAAATAAATACAAAAGTAAGAATAAAAAATGTCAGTAGAATTTACACTTCAGAGAAACAGGGCTTCACACTAGAAGGCCTGGAAAGGGGCCACCTAGGTCTACAGACGAGATAGACGATAGATTGACCTGACATCTGGCTCTCCCGAACCGCAGCAGATAAGAAATTTGATAAGACAAGTCCGAAATGTTTCGATTTCCTCCAGGACTGTTAGAAGGCTCAATGAATGTGGACCTATTCGTAAAGCACCATTTCTCGGTGTGTACCACACAGGGTGTAAGAAACAGGCAAGAGTCTCTCGGACGACCAACCACATTATTATTACAACATATTTCATTATTATACTCGGATCTATTGACGAAATATGCGCATTGTACATGTCCTTTTTTGGTTTATACGCTGATGTACAAATTTAACACACCACTTTGTTTATTTAGTTTAAAATTAAATTCAGCCAGGAGACTGAATGTAAACCACTCTACAATAGAAAGGGTTCTTTGGCACTTCAGAAAAACGGGGCTTTACACTAGAAGGCCAGGACAGGGTTGACCTAGATCTAAAGATAAAAGAGACGATAGATTCATCCGTCATCAGGCCCTACGAAACGGCAGCCTCATTATCTTAGTTCATTACGGGCAATTAGATGCTAAGTCCGAAATGTTTCGATCTCCTCCAGTACTCAAAGAAGAATGTTCAGTGAAAATAACCTCAGGGCTCGGCACACGGCTCGTGGATCTCTTTTAACCAAATGGCCAGGATATAAGCAAGGGAACATGTGAATTGGACATTGGAAGATTGGGGACGAATTCTTTTTAGAGATGAGGTAAGAGTTGGTCTTAAATCTTCGGATGGCCGTACTTTCATAGGGAGACCCTCAGGAGACAGATACACCCCATGCAGTACGGTTCTTCGGGTGATATTCCATGGTGGGTCATGGATGTTCTGGGGTGGCATATCCTTGGACGCCCGCCCCGAATTGGTTGTTCTGCGAGGAAGATCTCTAATTATGGATGATTACACGAATCAGATTGGAATTGGTTGCTTGTTGTGGCCTGCGAAGTCCAAATTTGAACCGAACCGAACACATTTGGAACCAACTTAAGCGAGGAGTACGACGGTGAGACCCAGGTCCTTACACCAGGCACAGGAATCGGCTGTTCTTAATGAATGGGAAAGAATTCCTCAGGATTTTATCAGAAAACTTTTACAAGGAGTAAAATGGCGTTTAACGGATGTGATTCGTGCCAGAGGTGGAAATACTCGGTATTAAAGAGGTCAAAACATTTTTTACATTTTTATTTGTTTTTTAATTTTCCGTTTTTTTCTTTGTTTTCTTTATTCAATAATAGTTGGTTTTTTTATAACGAGGTAATAAAAATTTTCGTTTTAAATGTCTTATGTTTACAGCCAAACCTTTTTTTGATATGCAAAATATGAACAAATGATTATTGGGAAATCGTGAGATGCGGTCTGCTGTGACGTAGGTTTCAGAAAAACATTTTTTATCGTGCCAACGTTTCGATCTTGATATGCAAAATATGAACAAACGATTATTGGGAAATCGTGAGATGCGGTCTGCTTTGACGCAGGTTTCAGAAAAACATTTTTTTTATCGTGCCAACGTTTCGATCTTTATTGAGGTCATCTTCAGGGCTCAAAGTGTTTGTTTTCTGTGTCACTATAGTCACATGACACTCAATGACACAGAAGACAAACACTTTGAGCCTGAAGATGATCTCAATAAAGATCGAAACGTTGGCACGATAAAGAAAATGTTTTTCTGAAACTACGTCACACCAGACCGCATCTCACGATTTCCGAAAAATCATAGACTAACGGTCACTAATCACCACATAAATATGAATAAACCTATATACGCTCAAATTTAAGGGTGTTGGGTTTATTTGTCCATCAGTGCATAACGTAATATCTCGATAAACTATTGAAGGTCGACCTCCGACCCAATGTCGCAATTTCGTACGTCTTAATCTTGTAAGGGATCTAGCATCAACAGAATGATTTCACTCGGCGTCTGTGAGCGCAGCGATTATTTCTGTTTTAAGTTGTTCTATTCGATACGAGCACGTCATGAAGTTGTTCCTGATCATTTTGACCGTATTTTACTTGACAATTATCTCAGAGGCTAGCTCGAATTTGACAACAATCATTAGCAACGATACCCTTGTGTTTAAGATGATGATTTCACCTCCGTACAGAACCAATTGCGAAAAAGGAGAAATATATTTCAAAGGAAAGTGCCGTTTAATCTTCCTATAGGTAAGCTGTTAAATGTTTTCCTTATCAAATTTGTCTTTAGAAATTTTCAACGAACACGATTTAAGATTCAGATATTTTCTAAGTGTACATAAAAGAAGGACGATTAACTATTTCTAGGGATATCAATTGGAATCTAGATAAAAATGACAAATAGCAATTTGCCTTTTTTTCTAAAAAAATTATAATTGTTGATAAATTTTTCCTCTTTCTTATTTGACAATTCCTTTACGGCATTATAAACACATCTCACGATTCTGGCTTAGAAATTAAATATGTATTCTTAGCCCTCCTGTATCATGTCCATCCTCGGCATAGCCTCCCCAAGACTTCAGAGAATAGCGATTTGATGGCGATCATACATTTCTTATTAGCTGATATGTGAAGATTAACGTAGACGTCTATTCACTACCCTGTTGATGACTACATTCATTGTTAGCAAATAAACTACAATAATCCTATAAAATCTCGGCCCCTGTTGTAGATGTCAATTTTTTATCAAGTATCACTTCGTCTAACCTGAAACTGGCAAACCAAAACTTTCCCCCTTTCCCTAAGTCCCACATTCTCCTGTAAAACACCGGTCAGAGCTTAGTGGACAGTATAGGTCTAAGTTTTGTTTCGCTGATTCTTGTAGGTGCTAATCTTGTTTGACTTCTATATCTTCATTTATAATAAAGCAATATATATAAACCTAAATACAGTAAAATTTAAGGGTAGTCCGTTTATTTTGTCCATAGTGTATATTCTTGTTGTTGTAAAGAAAAAAATGAATGCTTTAATAGTCTCTTTTGATAATGACGAGAAATATTTGCTCTATAGAGAGCTTAATTTTGATTCACACCTATGTTTGGAGTCACTAAAATTGAAACCGATCCAGTTCATTATTTTTGGGTTTACTTGAGAATACCCTAACCTGAACTTTAAATCTTATGAGGATGTCGAGTCTAACGAGGAAGAATTTGTATCATATCTACGTTTTGAGCGAGTCAAGAATATTTTTCATTTTATTGCCATTTGTCCCAGAGTTTTTGACATCAGTCTGAAACATTTCAAAGCAATTCAAATCTCAGGTGATCATTTTCTTAATTTTTCTGGTAGAGACTGGAAAGCTCTTGCTCAATTCGTTGAGTGTGCCCTAGATTTCACGTCGATTTATTTATTATACAAATTATGATTTACAGGATATTTACTTTCTAATAGCAAATTTATTTAAAGAACAGTTTTGTTGAAAATATCTAGAGTATATATATATATAGGGTTAGCAACAGCGCGCGGTCATATAAACCCTCAGGGTGCCGTTGTTTTTGCAGGGCTTCTGGATTCGAACCCGGGACCTTTACCTTACGTTGATGGGCGCCGTGTCAACGCCTAAACTGTTGCGACCACCGACACCCCCCTATATATTATTTATATAGAATTTAATTGTGTAAAAAATATTTTTGTGGTTTCATTAAGGATTATTGTTTATATTTCATGTCGCAACTCTCCGATCGATGTTTAAACATATTGGGATTGTCGTGAAGAAGTTTTTTTGATATCTAATTTGTTATGTACAGTTGAACTTTGTTTAATAAAGACTTTAAGAAGAAGACACACGAAAAATAACAAATAAAATGAACACATAAAATCGTTTAGGGAAAATGACGGAAAATCAAGAAACGCGTCTCCCCTCATGACGAAAAATGGCCATACTCGAAAACTTGTAAAAACATATTGTATGCTAAAAACTCATAGATACACAAATTAACAACATATTATCTTTGACACCATTCAAAACACTGTATCAATTAAAAAGTAATAGGACCAACGATGACAAAGACCGATCGGAACAATAAAATAAATAAAAAACACACCAACCTCACCCCACGACATTATAAAATAGTTTCAATTAATTATTCATTTTATCTAATGTCTTGATTGGGATGAAAAACCTAGTGACACGAGCGGGATTTGAACCCACGACCTTCTGAGCCGACGGTAGTGGGTTCGAATCCCGCTCGTGATACTAGGTTTTTCATCTCAACCAAGACATTAGATAAAATGAATAATTAATTGAAATATTTAATTATTTCATAACATGTATGGAAAAATTAAATATTTCAATTANGAGGACAAGTTGGAAGGTTGTTGCCTATTAAAAGCCTATTATGGATTAGCCTGATATGACCTATTCGCAATCTAGAGAGAATCACAAGTTCTTTTCTCTCAAGTTCCTCAGTTGGCCATTTATGTACAACTGGCTTAATTTCTTTCATACTATCTCTACAGACATTCCATCTTGCCGCCCATTTATATATATTACACAGGGCGGGCGACCAGGACCCGAGGGGTTAAAAACCTGGGTAGGCCCGTACCCCATCCCTAAAAGGTCCGGGACCTGCTCAGCTCACGAGTCCTGCATAAACCTTTTGGACCTATTCACAAACCCCAGGATTGTGGACCATTTTATCCTGGGGAGTGTTTTGGTTATGTCCTCTCCTTCGAAAGTATCAAATCTTTCCCTAGCATCCCTATCGCATTCTGCAAGGTAGTGTCGAGCCGTTTCTTCTTTGGTTTCGCAGAAGCGGCAGAAGGGGTCTGGTAGAGTACCCATTATGAAGAGGTGTCTTCTCAAGGGGCAATGGCCCGTTAGGATACCTATCAGCCTCCTTATTCCCCTCCTAGAGTTAGAGAGTAACCATCCGGGGAACATATTCCATTCCTTAAGGAATTGTTTCATGCCCCAGCAACTTAAACTCTCTTTCGCTGTGCTTAAAGAGTGGGGTAATACCGGTTGTGGCCCGACAAACGCAGTATTTGATCCTTCCTTGGCCAGGCTGTCCGCCTCCTCGTTGCCATAGTGCTCCTTATGAGGAGTTATCCATATGAGGGTTACCCTATTCTCATACCTGGTGATAGTCCTATTAATGAGTTCAACGATTTCCTCTACCAGTCTAGATGTTGATAGTTCTTTTTGTAATGATTTTAGACTGGCCTGACTGTCGGAAAAAATTTTAATATCTTTTCCCTTAATCTTGTTATCCATAAGTGTTCTACAGCAAACATTAATGGCCCAGACCTCTGCCTGAAAGACCGAGGTGTTATTACCAAGAGGAGAGGAGATGCTGATCCCTAATTTAGGTATGTGTATTCCAGCACCGCTTCCCTTATCCTTAATGAGTGAGCCATCGGTGAAGCAGTCTAGGCTACGATGGTCATCATCAGACTTACAGTTATAGTCACATGGAGTAACTACCTGAAAGTGTTTTTCCCCAAAGGTGTTTTCACCCTTTTATCGCTTACACCCAGTAGTTGGTTGTTGACCTTACTCAATAAATGTAGAATTTTCGAGTGTCCTATATTATTTCCCTTATGGTTCCAGCTGCCTTCACTAATTAATCTATGGCAGCTGGTTAGTGCTTTAACCTGCCGCCCACTTTCGTTTGATAATGTTTTTAACATAAACGACTATATCATCTGGAGGAAATTGATCTGTTCTTTGTGGATGGTTTGCAGCGTATATTATTATTCTGTGTTTGCTCACATCAACTCCGGCTGACGGACTGTTGACCATGCCGTAAAGTATTTTGTAACATATTTTGAGTTTGTTGTATTCCGTGTAAATAAATACTATTATTCATTCATTCTAGCATCTTTCTGCCTAACTGTGACACACTTATAATGCGACTTCTACATCTTTTTCATTTCACTTTCTTTTGCTATCCTTGTTTTTATTTGCAACACCAGCAATTTCAATTACATACGCAACTTCCAAATTTTCTGCATTAGTGATTGTGATACTTGAAAACGTTTGGCAGCTTGGCTCATTTTTGAAAGCAAATCATACTTTTTTTTTAAGTTCACATTTCTCCTCGAAACTGACAATCTTACGTTTTACACTTATTCTTACGAGTTTTGAGATCACTCTGTATAGGTGATATCTATAACCGCGGTCATTATAGTCTTTCCAAAATGGCAGTGAGCTCCGGGCTAAGGTTTCTCTTCGTTCCTACCTATAAAATATTATGTCAAACCGCTCATCACACCCGGAGGCAAATAAATTACAAAATTTAATAAGAGAGCTTTACTTAAACAAACTTATTGGATTTGTCATTAACTCATAACTTAATCTTATGAAATATATGAACGGTATAAGGTATGAACGGTAAATGTTCAGATAATTTTCATTTGCTGGTTAGGTAGTGGGTTATTAAATTGAATTGAAAAATGAAAATTATCTGAACATTTACCGTTCATACCAGTTAGAACAAAAAAATAGATAACTGTCGCTTAATTTTACTTTCGAACGACTTTACAAAACGACGTCCTTGAATAGCAGACCACAATTTTCCTCTACATGTCGTTTGCTTTCGAAGAGAATGATTTAAGGCAAACTTTTCGGCTATATTTCGCTGGCCAGTACTAAAATATTATAACGTTTTCAATTTTCATTTGACACTTCATTTGACGAAGTTAAGTTTGATCGTTGCTGGTCATTGAATCCCATCGTTTCTTGTAAGATTCATAGTCTAATGTTGTCCGCTAATTTGAGTCCATAACGTCATCACATTTTAAAAAAGTGATAATAATATTTTAAGAAAATAACAATAATAGAAAAATAAATAAAATTTTATTTTGGGTTATTCAGATGACCTGGAAACAATCATTAAAGGGACATTGGAGGGCACTCAAGGTCTGAGGTCTCTGGAGATCAAATCAGATGAAAAACTTTAAACTTTATAATTTTTTTGACGGTGTGAGAAAATGTGTTTAAACATAAACCCTAAGAAACGAACCCCTTTAACAAGAAGAAGGAAACACAATCTAAATCCACAATAAAAAATTAAGACTTAACTTTTTCAAAAGAAACAAAGTACCTAGGTATAACACAACAGGCAACATTCTGCATTAAGGCCCTACTAAGGGTTGGTCTGAGATTTAGCAGTAAAAACTGGGAAATAAACCAGAAGATGTTATATATATACACACCACAACGTTCAGCCACTGGACATACCTCGAGTGTATGGCCACAAACACTGAATAAAGAAACCCAGGTTCAACTATAAAGCCTGCATCGACTGGCGTGCCTCCCTATCACAGGGGCAACCTGTCCTAAAAAGGTACTTTTGAGAGTGCCAACTGACTCCTGAAATTAAATGTAATAAAGCCAGATGTAAGGCGGAGCCACCAAAAAATTTTGGAAAGAATTTAGATAAATGAATATGGCTATAACAGTACCTGACAAAATAAGACCAACCTTGACCGATCCTTCCAAGTGGACATAATTAATATGGCTCTGGAAAAAAGGTAGACCCAAGGTTCAAGAAGGACCCCAAATATTGGTGCACAGATGGATCGAAGATGGAACAGGGCGTAAGTGTAGGAGTAAAAGGACCAAACTATACCCTAGCAAAGCTCCTTGAATAACCCTAACAATGTTCCAAGCTGAAGACCATCCAATACAACTCTGTTCCCAGGAGTGAATAAAGAAAAATATAAAAAGGTAAAAATATAAAACAGATTTACATATTTCAGATATCCAGGAACTAAATTCGTATGCTCTGAGCTCCAATTTGCCTGGGAGTGCTTAAATTGCCTAATGACTCTGGGAAAATAAAACATGATTAACTTAAAGTGTGTTCCCGGTCATGAAATGCATACAAGGAAACGGACAGCTTGACCAACTAGCCAAAAAAGGGGCAGCCATCTCACCCATGGGACAACCACAACCAGGTGATTATGTGTTTAAGTTGGAACTGGAAAAACGGTTTGAGAAAAAAAAACTCAAGCACTGGTCAAAAGCACCAGGCTGAGGCAAGCGAAAATTTATAAATCTCTCAAAAAGGAAGGCGAACATCTTTGAACATACAGGATTTGAGGAAAATTATAGGCCTCTAACCGGCCATTGCCGTCTTCATTACCACCTGAAGAAGATGGGCAAAGCATAGACATGACTGTAGGAACCAGAGACTTTGTGAAAGTGAATATTAGCCCGGTTGAAGTCTCTTCGTTAAGGCAATTCTCACACCAAAACCGCGAGCAACCAATATGCTTTGTCTTATGGAAAAAGTGCACTCTACAAGGTATTGCGATAATTTTAAGGATTCCACAAAAGATCTATGTAGTCGCAGTGGAGAAAAGGATTTTTAAAATTCTCGATCAATCCCCAAACCTCAAAATCTTTTTTCGTTCAATCTTTTCGTTAAATTATTCCTTAACTTACTAACTCATTTATTTGGAGCTAAAGTCTTAAACTTGTATTAAACGTGTGTGATGATTAGTGACCGTTGGTCGATGATTATTCAGAAATCGTGAGATGCGGTCTGGCGTGATGTAGGTTTTAGAAAAACATTTTCTTTATCGTGCCAACGTTTCGATCTTTATTGAGATCATCTTCAGGGCCTGGGATTTACAAACATTGTTTAAATTTAACAAATACATATAGGGCTGTGGAAAAAAGTGAATTTATACAATGCAAAAAATATATTTTTTATATTCAATCAAAGTATTTCTTCTCACTCAAAGTGTTTGTTTTCTGCGTAAGTGTGTCGTTCTTGCGTGTCGTGTTGAGAGTCACTCAAAAAATATATTTTTTGCATTGTATAAATTCACTTTTTTCCACAGCCCTACATGTATTTGTTAAATTTAAATAATGTTTGTAAATCCCAGGCCCTGAAGATGATCTCAATAAAGATCGAAACGTTGGCATAAAGAAAATGTTTTTCTGAAACATACATCACACCAGACCGCATCTCACGATTCCTGAATAATCTTGAATTAAATTATGTACTGTTATGATGATATATGATACATGTACCATTTTTTGAATATTATTGTATATTTTTCAGGATTGGAGATGAGGCTCAACAAGAAGACCACGTATATTGTACATTTGGAGCAAATAGTATAACTACATTTTTCAATTAACAAAATATACAGTGATGTAAATGAATGTAAAATGTACAAATGTACATTAATGTAGATCCACCTTTATTGTCTCTAATAATAAAAAACCTGTTTTAATTGCCTTTTTTGAGCCGTTCTGTCGAAACAACAAGCTAAAACATTGCCAAAAATAAAACGTTTAGTATAAACTAATAAAATACCATATTTTCATAATAATAAAAAACAAAAATTTCTAGTGTAAAATCATTTATAGTTTTTGTACAAAAAAATCTGCGAATCGATTTAGACAATCTTGGTAAAGAATCTGAATCACTGTTGGATGATTGGTACACAATAAACATGATAGCACACCAGTGATTAAGTACGTAATCGTGACAATTGCAGAAACAATATACGAAATCGTTATCGGTGACTAAACCGTACGATTCAAATAGAACTAGATTAGGCTCAAGTAGAAATTTAAAGTTTACGAGCTTGAAACGTATTTGTTAAAAGTTTATGGATGCCTTTAGTCCCAACGATTGTTCGTTTGATCTTACGATGAACTAATGAATGAATTAACTCTTGATATCTAGCCCAGAGAAAATAATTATTTAATCAATTAATTTTTGTCCTGATATCAAACAGGAGATAAAAGAAAAAATAGATTACTTTACCTGTTTATGTTTTGAAATAATTAAAATTAAAAGTAAGAGGAGTTTATTATTGTATTCATATAGCTTTAGTGCTTCATATTTCGTTCGGCCTAGCTTGAAATTAAATTGTTTATCCCCCTACTCCAAGATTCGCAATCCTTGAGAATTCTCGACTGTCTAGGCTAAAGGATAGAATAAAACCTCGAAAAACAAAGGAGAGTTTTGCTGAGCACGAGAAAAGGAAACAAATAAACAGGCCAATTGAAGACCACGATAATAAAACAAGCTACAGCCCAGGATTGGACAACATTTTGGAAAGGAGAGGAAATTTTACTGAATCTTAATCTTAAAACCCAAGCGAATAATGACCATTTGTTTAATTAATAACTAGAAGGGGGCCATAAAATTATTAATTAATTTCGATGTCTTATTTCAACGTTATATTCATTTTTTTAAATGGGAAGACAAGTTTACCAAGAGATATAGCATATATTGGATTTTCCACAAAGAAACGAAAAAAATAAAACCATAGCTTATCAAATTGATGGATAAAATAAACGCACCATCCTTAAATTTTAATGTATTGGCTTATTTATTATTAATGCATTTACTACCTGATGCATAATACCGTGATTAAAAAACAGGAATTATTGAGTAAAGAACAAAAAAACAGAAAATTTAAAAAAATAATAATAAAAAAGTAAAAAAAACTTTTTTGACCTCTTTAATACCGAGTACTTCCACCTTTGGCATGAATCACATTCATTAAACGCCTTTGCATTCCTTGGCAAAGATTTCTGATAAAATCTTGAGGAACTCTTTCCTATTCATTAAGAACGTTTTGATCTTTATTGAGATCATCTTCAGGGCTCAAAGTGTTTGTTTTCTGTGTCATTATTGAGTGTCGCGTGGGCACACACAATAGTGACACGACACGCAAGAATGGCACAATTACACAGAAGACAAACACTTTGAGCCCTGAAGATGATCTCAATAAAGATCGAAACGTTGTCACGACAAAGAAAATGTTTTTCTGAAACCTACGTCACAGCAGACCGCATCTCACGATTTCCCAATAATCATTTGTTCATATTTTGCATATCAAAAAAAGGTTTGGCTGTAAACATAAGACATTTAAAACGAAAATTTTTATTACCTGATTATAAAAAAACAAACAATTATTGAATAAAGAACACAAAGAAAAAAAACGGAAAATTAAAAAACAAATAAAAATGTAAAAAATGTTTTGACCTCTTTAATACCGAGTATTTCCACCTCTGGCACGAATCACATCCGTTAAACGCCATTTTACTCCTTGTAAAAGTTTTCTGATAAAATCCTGAGGAATTCTTTCCCATTCATTAAGAACAGCCGATTCCTGTGCCTGGTGTAAGGTCCTGGGTCTCACCTTCGTACTCCTCGCTTAAGTTGGTTCCAAATGTGTTCGGTTCGGTTCAGATTTGGACTTCGCAGGCCACAACAAGCAATTCCAATCTGATTCGTGTAGTCATCCATAATTAGAGATCTTCCTCGCAGAACAACCAATTCGGGGCGGGCGTCCAAGGATATGCCACCCCAGAACATCCATGACCCACCATGGAATGTCACCCGAAGAACCGTACTGCATGGGGTGTATCTGTCTCCTGAGGGTCTCGATATGAAAGTACGGCCATCCGAAGATTTAAGACCAACTCTTACCTCATCTGTAAAAAGAATTCCTCCCCAATCTTCCAATGTCCAATTCACATGTTCCGTGCTTATTGAATCCTGGCCATTTGGTTAGAAGAGATCCACGTGTGCCGAGCCCTGAGGTTATTTTCACTGAACATTCTTCTTTGAGTACTGGAGGAGATCGAAACATTTCGGACTTAGCATCTAATTGCCCGTAATGAAATAAGATAATGAGGCTGCCGTTTCGTAGAGCATGATGACGGATGAATCTATCGTCTCTTTTATCTTTAGACCTAGGTCAACCCTGTCCTGGCCTTCTAGTGTGAAGCTCCGTTTTTCTGAAGCGCCCAAGAACCCTTTCTATTGTACAGTGTTTACATTCAGTCTCCTGGCTGAATTTAATTTTAAACTAAATAAACAAAATGGTGCGTTAAATTTGTCCATCAGCGTATAAACCATTGATATAAAAGGATATGTACAGTGCGCATATTTGGCTTAACGATCTCTTGGTCAATAGGCCCGACTATAATAATGAAATATGTTGTAATAATAATGTGGTGGGTCGTCCGAAAGACTCTTGCCTGTTTCTTACACCCTGTGAAATGAGAAATGGTCCTTAGTCGATTAAGAATAGGTCATATGCGCTTGACACGCCAAAGCCCGCGCAGGTGCCTCTTATGCCGAGAAAGGTTGCTCGATGTATGTTCCCACATAATAGAAGCTTATCATGCCATGGTTCCTTACAGAGAGTGTGTAGGCATGCCGCCGGATTTAATCATGGTTCTCGGACACAGTAGCGAGTTTCTGGGTTCCCTGTTCTGCTTTTTGGTGGACGTGGGTTTTTATTATTATATATAGATTTGTTTTATGCGCTTTTAGCGTGTGTATTTATTAGTGTGAGTCGTGAGAGCTAATGGTGAAATGTCGCCCCTAATTTAGATTACATTATTACCAAATAACTTAAAGTTATAAAATATAAAGTTTAACAATTTATAAATGTATTATATTTTAACCACAAATATCTGGAGAAAGCAATTATCAAACAAAATAATAATTGTAAATTCTGTTTGGCCTTTGATCAAATGTTTACAGTTTGGAAACGTTATCAAAACAATAACTAAGCGGGTATAAAGCAAACGCTTGAACACCTCCTTTCAATCGTTGCAGTATCCGCGGTCAGATTAATACAAGGTAAGCCGTCAACGAATTAACATAAAACAGTAATTTATAATCATTTATTTATTTAATTACGTTTACACTTTTGGCATTTAGGGTATTATCAGGGATCCTTGATTCTGTACTGTTTCTTGGTGGTCGGGTTATAAGATTTATTATTTAATTTATTTCCAAGTAAATATTTTATAAAAAAACTTATATACTATTTTAAAATATATCGATGTTTTTTAAAAAAATCTAGTAAAAAAAACACATTTTCTGTTTAAAATGTAACATGTCCACTTTTGGATTCACGAATAATCTGGATCTCGGTATTGTCTAGATGAAAAAATTAATTTAATCGTTATCTGGCAAACTTTCGACCTATTTTAAAGTCATTAACATAGTCTAAATTAATTACATATCAATATAACTACAGAGATCTTACAAAACAATCTTAAATATGTCTCCAATTCTAAAATAATTCAGTCACTGAAGTCAAAAATTCTCTGTAAGATGGCCAATGATCCTTATTTCGTCGCGAACTTTACCATACCGACCTCCAAATTCCTTTTGTCAAAGAACTCATCCCTTCCCGTTACACAAAATTCCATAAGTCCATAAGTACACATACTTACCCTCTTGTCCTCTACAAAATCCCACCGGTCAACCCACGGTAGTGACTACTTATTACAAACTTAACTAGATTAGGTCTTCATTGGGCGACTTTTCCAGTTATATTTTGTGATATAGCGTGTCTCTTCTTCCTTTTTGTTGGGCCCAACCCTGAATTCGAAAAACCGAAAACAAGGTCCCAGAGGTGTTTTACGATCGGACCTGACTACAATTATTTCATTTATCGATCAGGCACCTTTTATATTTCATTTAAACCAAAGTAAATACGACACCAAATGTTTGTTAAATTTGAATCTTTAATTACAATTTATTTTCACATAAAATGACAATATATTTTATTAATTATTATTTTTAATTTAAAGAATCCTTTTATCCTATAACAAACCTATCTCAAATCTACAAACCTTCATTTTAAAATGGAATTTGATTCTCGTTTTATAGTTCCATAAAGAAAGGTAAAGAAATTATTATTATTATTATTATTATTAAAATTTTGACCAGCAAATTAGAAAATACAATTAAAATATTAACACAACTTTTAAAATGAAATATTATTTCTTTTACTTTTCTTTATAAAAATATATACCCTTTTAAAACTAAATTACAATTATTATTTTTTTATTTTGACGTCAAAGTAATAAAAATTAACTCACTTGAATAGTGTGCACTAAGTTTTAAAACAATTTATTAATTACGCAAAAAATAAGTTAAATTTACTTTTTAGATTTTAAACAAACAATTAAAATTTTTTGAATTTAAATAAATAATAATTTTATGCAAACCGTTTGCCAGACCATCTGGAACAAGGGTGGATGGGTATCACTATTTACAGTCAATCCGCTGTGGACCGAAGAAGACAGTGCCTTCTTACAAATTTCGTGTACAAATTCTTCTTACAAATTACAAATTTCGTGCAAACAAAAAATCCCTCCAAATTGACATAAGTTTTTAATAGATGTCTTCAAAATTATTTGAAGAACGACTCGGACTTAACATTGACAACGACCCGTTCATCAGACCATACAAAGATCCAGTGAAAAACCACATTCGATGTTTTGATGTTGTTTTTTTGATTCGTTGGACATAACAAATAAAATATATAATTACGAGCCTCAATAAATATCGGCCAAACTTTCATAAGAGACTAATCGCTCCTTGCCGTTTTTCCGTTCTTCCAAATTGCGATGTATGACTTCCCTATTAGAAAATCCTTCCCAACAATTTTATACTTCAATCAGAAATGCGTTTTTCAATTATAAACAGTTATGTCAAAGACCGATAATTTGGTTTCGTGCGTCACCAGTGAAGATTTGCTATTGTAACCGAAAAGCAATTTTGAAGATATCAAAAACGTGAGATGGTCTGCGTACCATATACCCTCGCTTAATCTTCCTTTAATTGGATTTTAATTAAAACATTATTATACCCATCAAGACCGTGTAGGAAAAATTGTAGGAAATGAAGGCCGCCTGTTTTGCGGAACGCCGAGCATAACTAAAAACCGACGTAACCAACAAAAATAAAAATTCTCTGGATGAAGTTGTTTGTAAACTGTGTAATAACCTTTTCTTTATCCATAGAAGCAAAATATTGCATTGCCTCTGTTAAGTTAGTTCTGCCAAATTTTCGTCACTGAAACTGATAAATACAACTATACAAATTATAAATAATACGAATAATAAGAATACAACAAAACTACGAATTAAAAAGGTTTCAATAAGCGTTTATATACTTCAAAATTCGAAGCTGGGCTCTTATTGTTACATTTTTTCTCATTTCCAGATGGGATTCGGGAGATGGTTGCTCCTCTCTGGAGTCTGCCTTGTCCTGGCGACAGAAAAGTCCACCCACTCTGTCCAGTGGCGGGGCAGCTTAACAAAAATGGATGAAACAGGAAGAACAGCTTACAACGGGCTTGTAACCAGGGCTCAATTCTACAAAGATTTCGTTTACCTTTGCATACCCAGGTAAAAAGCGAGCCTCAATTTAAAATAGTGCACTATATTTTTTTAGAAACGTACATATGTATTTCAATTTTTAAAAAAAGCACAGTTTTTGTGTTATATTATCTACTTGTATGGAATAGAAAGACTTCTCAGAGTATAACATGCTGTCCTGTAAATATTGGTTTTTAAATAACTATGTAAAATGGCTGAATTGAAAATGGCAACTGTAAAAAATTCAATATTAACCTTAGTTATTCAGATATCGTGAGATGCGGTCGGGTGTGATGTAGGTTTCAGAAAAACATTTTTTTTCGTGACAACGTTTCGATCTTTGGTAAGATCATCTTCAGGGTCTGGGATTTACAAACATTGTTTAATATAACAAATACATGTAGAATGTGGAAAAAATTGAATTTATACAATGCAAACAAATATTTTTTATATTCAATCAAAGTATTTCTATTTTCAATATAATAAAAACAAACATATTTAATTTTTTTCAGAAATCGTGAGATGAGGTCTGGTGTGATGCAGGTTTCAGAAAAACATTGTCTTTATCGTGCCAACGTTTCGATCTTTTATTGAGATCATCTTCAGTCAATAAAAGATCGAAACGTTGGCACGATAAAGAAAATGTTTTTCTGAAACCTACATCACACCCGACCGCATCTCACGATATCTGAATAACTATCGATTAACGGTCACTAATCGCTACACATTAACCTTAGTATCGTATTACATAGTCAGTTCATGTGCATCAATGTACTTAAACATCATTACATAATCACAGGCTGAAACCGAATTGTTAGGCAACTTTGGTAAGACTGAGTTTTTTAGCTTCCCAATGTACTGCTCTTCTTGGAGAATCAGTACTCTGGCAGAAAGGACGAGCTCGCACGAGTAAGCGCTCCTCAAAATAACCATGGAAGGAATTTATTTTGAGTGTTCCATGAGAATCGCTTACCTGGGTGTCGAAATGGACTCGAGGATAAACTTCAGCGACCATTAATAAAAATATAGCGGGCAAAAGCAAAGTTTTCATCAGAATGCTTTACACGCTATTTCCACAATTTCCACCCTAAACTATCCCTCCACCATAACTCTTTCCTCAACGTCTCACCCTTACAATCCTCCACGCCATTTAAAACGACGAGGGCCTCGTGACCTTCCATCTTAACCCACCCAATAATTGGATTGATATAATTATTGAGTTATTTATATATATATTTATTTATTTTACTTACCTAGTTACTCGCAGCGCACTTATTTATCTATTTAAGATAGTATATATACTTTTTTATATATTTATAGTTTAGGACGGTTACATTCCTGAGCATGTGGTGTTTTTGTTTAATGATTTTCCCCACAATCTCTGATATTTTTGTTTTTAAAAATCATGCGGTTCAAATCTACTACCCTGACAAAGTATGTAACGATCCGGAGAGCTTTCTCTGTTTAAAAAATTCTGTTTTTCTCAGTTGTCAAATGTAAATTGTTTTGCAAAATAAATTTATTTTATCATTAATAGGTTGAAACCGAATTGTAAAGCAACTTTGGTAAGAATGAGATTTTCCGATGCTCCAATGAACGACGTGACGACGGAAAATCCGAACATCGAGCTATTTCCCTCGTGGACGCCTCAGACGGAAGGCGATTGCAGTTGTCTTCAGTCCGCAGTGGACCTTTATCTTGATGAGATGAAAATTCTGTGGGTACTCGATGTCGGGTCTATTAAGTTCGTTCAATCCAATCCGACAGATAGATGCTACCCAAAAGTACTCGGCATTAACGTCGAAACAGGAAAAGTAAACATTTCTTCTATAAAGTACGGTTTTAAGTATTTACATGATTTTTTTGTAACTTTGTTGTTTAATATTTAATTTTCAGACAGAGCATGTCATCAGCCTCCAAAGCCTGATCGAACCGATATCGCGTGTCCAGTTCATCGTTGCCGATTATGACAAGGACGGAAAATGTTATTTGTACATAAGCGATGCCGCGACTATGTCGATCATAGTTTGGGATGTAACGAACAAAGTCGGCCATCGGGTCATGCTGCCAGACGATGTTATTTCCGAAAACGCACCAAAAGACGTCCTCTACCTCGCCCTTGTTAGAAAGGCGACTAGCACCCTCCTGTACTTCACTTATCGATCGGGTGAAAAAATGTTTTTCATAGATACGAAATGCCTTCGCAAGGAAGCCAGTACGGCTAAGTCTTCTGAGGTAGGATTGAAACCCGCCAGGTTGATCATTCTCGGAACCGATGGGTTGGACTGTGTATACTTCAGGTGACTAGTGTTACAATCGTATTTAAATAATACAGACACTTCTAATTATATTACTAATTGTTTTTAGGTACGAGATCTATCCAGATATATACAAGTGGAATACAAACACTCCTTTCTCTCAAGACAATTTCCAACTGGTCCATACCGGAGGTCAACTCACGCCTACTCAAGTCATGCCATACTACTCCTGGAACGTCATGATGTTGTGCGAATCAAATCTCTCCGAGTATCTCAATCCAAATTCGAAACCAAGTGACGCAATTAACAGTCTGACAGTAATGCAAGTCGCATAATTTTTTTTACTGTTTTATTTATTATTTAGTATTATATAAAATCCATTATTGATGACTGACGAAAACTTAAAAGTTTAATACAAAAATATCCTTATTTTTATTATATTATCCTCTTTTTGGAACAATACATGTATACTATCTAAGAATTAAATATAAACAAGTGAATTCTTTCAAAAAGGACGACTTTATAATCAAACTACCATTCTTCAAAATCGAGGATGATTTTTCGTCCTCAAAAATCCTGCATTTAAATTCATTTTGGCACATGGGGTTTCCTTGCAACGATTCATTCAGGGCATGTAAAAGATATTTGTCAACCTTAGAATAGAATTCCTCCTTGAGAATAACTTTTGACCTCGTCATTGATGTATGCAGGGTGATGGTAGACCAAAACAGTGAACAAAGAAAGACCAAAATGATGGGAACTGATTAAGCTGTACGATTAGAGCATATGATGACAACAGAAATCGTGCTACCCTAAGCAATTTCTTTTGAGTTCATAGTCGTTAATGATTGAAACAAGAAACAATTTAACAAATTTGTACAATTTACCGTTTTGACAAGGATGGGTTTAGGTAGGAAACAGTTGGCATCCATTGTCACCATCCATTGTGGATTTAAATTATGCCAACTAGAGTGTGTGGTGGTTGGTTGGTTGGGGTGATCCATCATTTATCACCAGACGTAATATTCAAATCAACTGACTTACTTTTGGAATAAGGCCTCCAAAATCTTTGTCCATTCCATCAATAACACACAGACATTTATTTACTTTTGGGCCCGTGTATGTGTTTGGCATGCAGATAAAAAGGTTGCTCGATGTGTCCCACCTAATTCAAGGGTGCAATTCCTTGGCTCCATACAGAGATGTGAGAATCGTGCTTCTGCACGGCAGCGAATATTTGGGTATGTTCCAATTCTTGAAGGAAACTGGGTTGTTCTAGTGTATACAATAAAAATAATTGTGTATACCTAGTTTGTATTGAGAGGGAATGTATTTATTAGCGTGAATACGATATGTGGGAGGGTCGATGTCACACTGTCGAGTACCTCATCGACCCTCAATTAGGCTAGTTGTACAATATGTGTAAAAGTTGTATTAAGGGTGAATGTATTTATTAGCGTGAATTTGTGGTGTGAGAGGGGTGATGGCAGAATATCAAGTACCCCATCAGCCCACAATTAGATTAGTTGTATAATACATGTAATTTAATGAATGGTAAGTAAATAGGAGTGAATGTATTTACGAATGACCGTGAGTACAAATGGGTTAGGTGCTGAATTGATCTAGCTGAACAGCACCGCCCCCAGTTCCTAACCTCAGTGGCTGGATGCATAAGACTGTCTGCCCTTGGACAGCCAACACGCAGGGTGAGTAATTCTTAAGTCTGCTGGCCATTTACTGTAAATAGCAAAAGCTGGAATTTCCAGTGGACTAGGAGAAATGATTAGACTCAATTCTGCCCATGTTTGTATGTCAGCATGTACATGGCGGAATTGAGCCTATAAAAATCCAAATTCAAAAATCTTCATCAATATAAATATTTCACATTGTTGTGTCATGCCATCTGTACCAAAGGATGTTTACATGTGATTTGCTATCATAACCCACAAAGGTTGTAAAAATTAACAGACAGTAAAACAATAAATAAAACTTAAATTGTGAATCCTATGAGCAAACAACACAAAATATTGTGTCAAGTAGACACTTTTTGTCAATCATAACAGATAGATAGATAAAATTAAATTAACCTGTAATACTAAAAGGTTTAATGCCCATCCACCGCAGACTGGGGTAAAGAAACAGTTTACAATTATTTGCCTCAAATCATTCTCAAAACTCCAAGGATTATGCCAGGATTTGAACCCAGAACTGTTACCGTGGTATACAATGATAGAGATTCAGGTGCTTTAACAACCCAACACAATGATTTAAAGATCAAAAGATGAATTAGTATTTATCCTCAATTGTGTTTGGTCCGAGTTATCATCTTCGATTGGGTCATTGGGGAAGGATTGCGCCAGGAGAGCCATTCTTGATTGTGGGTATCCCCAAGTTCTCAGCTGTCATAAGTGGTCGAATGTCTATTTTTTGAAAGCCAACCTTTGCGTGGAATCCCCATGCTGAGTTTTGCCTGCTTGCTGCTTTATACAGGGTGAATTGCTACTCGTGCTACAAACTTCTCCAGTAGATTCTTCACCCTAAAATGAACAAAAAAGTTCATATTGTCCATGGTCCGATTCTCAACCATTNAATCGATAAAAAGCGAAATTACTCTGAAATGGTTGAGAATCGGACCATGGACAATATGAACTTTTTTGTTCATTTTAGGGTGAAGAATCTACTGGAGAAGTTTGTAGCACGAGTAGCAATTCACCCTGTATACTTTTATAATTTATAGTGGGATATTTGATTATATGTAATTGTTTGTGATGTAACAATGTAATGTATGTTTTATTTCCCCCCCACTTTATTTCAAGAGAAGCACTAAGGTTAAAAATGTAACTATTTTATATCCATTATTTTGAAAGTCGGAAATTGCTACGTTTGAACACGTACTCAGCCCAGATTCTTCATAAGTGAAATGCAATATTTGCAACCACACTTGAGAAATGCAGATTTTATACTCTTCTCTTCACCTCTCAGTTGACATCTACAGTTCTCTGAAGTTGTCTCTGAAAGTTTTGTTTTTCTATATACATATAACATATATGTATATTTACTATTAAGACACTGGTGTTTAAAAAGGCAACAATGAAATTTCTGATTGATCAAAATAAAATATAAAGTCTCTCGACCTAGGGCATCTGTTACCGCAACGGTTAGAGCATTGGCACGGCATGGCACTCATCACTGAAGCCCTGGATTTGAATCTCAGCAGGCTACATTTTGCAGTTGCAAAAAAATAAATAAATAAAATAAAATAAAGGGTGAGACAGGAAATGACAAGAGCTATTTTAATTATGTTTCCATATCATTTTCATGCCAAGAATCATCATAATACAAATTATATAGAAAGACTTATTTCTAAATAACTTCCAAGGTTCTCAAGGCCTAGAAAAAATTTGTACTAACTATGCATGAAAAATGTACACAATGGGAATAACAATTTTACACTTTATTACGTACATAATAAACTGTAAAATAATTATTAATTAATTTAATCTACAAATATTCGGAAAAAGTCAACTTTTTGTTACAAATCTACAGCTGATGTTTAGTACAATAAAATGTCATTAGTTCCATTAACAACTATGGAAGTTTCATTTAAAACGGTTGTGTAAAATGGGTGCGCGCACATTTGTAAAATTTACAAATTGGCAGTGGAAAGTAGGCACTTGATCAGTAATGATATACGATACGTTGTTAATGGGATATTCGCACGATTACATACGACATATATAAAAAATAAAACCGACCAAACAAGTTGACTTAAATCCGAATAAAAACAATTTTGTTTATGAAAACTGAACGTGCTTGAGAAATAAATCACAATAGAATAGACATGACAAGCACATATTTGATTTTCCATTATAAAATAATTTGTTCAACCTGGATTTACAATACCTACAATAAATTTTCAGTCACGATGCATAATTATAATGTACAAATGAGCAATAAAATCAATTACTATTTCCTTAGACAATATGTTGATTCATCTCCCAATAAAATATTTTATTAGGATTTTTCTAACCATTAATAATGGCATTTTTAAATTTACATTTACAAAAATGAAATGATTTGGCAATATGGTCCAAAAGTTGATTATTTCAATAACATTTTATTTTATTTTTTAATTAACAGTTTTTTTTTGTTTGTTTTTTTTATATATAGTTTATTTAATTGGTTTTTTAAAGCCTCACTCACTTTTTATCACCATCTTTACATTTTCTTTCTTTTTTTTAATTTACATTCATCCCTTATTATTTATTATATAATTGATACATTGTTTAAAATTAAAATAAAAAAGAGAGGGAAGATAGAGAGATAGCTATATAAAGAGAGAGCGTATAAATTATTCTAAAATACAAACTATACAAATAAGATAAAAACACAAAGATCGTAACAAATAAATGTCTAATGAACAGTTTGCCGTATGTGTTGTTATTTTAATGCTTTGTTCAATCGAATGAAATGGATCTTGAGCTTTGACACGACAGTTCATTATAGGAGGATGCCAAAATGGTTGACACTTTTTGACCCACCTGTGATTCTTACACAGCACATTCTAAATTCCTATATACTAAATTTTATACACTATCAATATTTATATATATAATTTTTTTATTATTATTTTTTTTATAATAGTAGTACCTATTTTTAATTCTTTGGTATCAGAATGAATACAGATATTAGTTTTAATTACATATACATTGCTCAATAAACTGATCCCTAGTTTGAACAACCTGAGATATTGATGTTTACATTTAAAAGAAATTCAAAAGCCATTTCCATCACACAATAAATTTTATTGGTCTTTTGAAGTATGCCGTTTTTAGAGGCAATATTTTATCAGTCAGTGTTTATAGGGAAAATTTTTTTCCAATCTTCTAAAAATTTACTTCCTAACACTGATCCACAATAACCTAAGATAAAAGGTCAATTTACTCTTTCATTATTTCCCTTAAGATTTGGCTTTAGATAATTTGGCATCTCCAGATCACTTCACAAAGGATTTTCTTTTCTAAAAACAGCCATAGTAATAAAATATAAAATTTACAATTGACAGTCAAACATCTATTTTTTATTTTTTTATGTTTACTTTTTGTTTTATTCATGAAATAGAATGTATAGAAATTAATCACAACTAATATTTGGTACAAAATTATATTTAAAAACAAATTACCTTACCAAAAGTATCTACGTCTAGAAGAATTTTTCACATCTATTTACAAACGCAATAAAAAACAGTGAATTAATATAATAATTTGTGTACATAGATATTATGTGTTTAACATATTAAACAAAAGTTAAAATCTCTCAAATGATTTCATTATTAATTAACTTGTAAAAATAATTTTTGAAATGTGTTTTATTATTATTATTTGTATAATACCTTATTCAAACAGTATATTTACACATTTAATTATCAAATACTTAAAAATGTATAACACAATAATTATGATTTTTCATTATGATGGACTATGAAAAACTCCACTACTATTTACATTTAATTTTGCACCATAACAATTTATATTGTTGGCATCATTAAAGGCCTTTACTTTTATATTTTTATTTTTCTTGTTTCGATGCAGTCATAGGCCAATTATTTATTTTTAAAAAGACTAGATATAGCTTATTTTAAATTCAAGATCGAATCTTTGTCATGATTAATTTAAAAATAAAATTGATGAAGCACAACAAAAACAATCTTGATAAGATAGAGGTGAGGTTCAAACATTTTAATTGTGGCACAATTTTCTTTCCTTTTATTTTTTCCTGCAGAAGTTGGACATTTTATGCAATTTTTCTTTAGACAGCTGTTTTTCTACTATGAAAAATAATTGTCAAATGAGATAACTTTTACAACTAATATCCACTTTGTTAAATTGAAATCTCCCTTATATTCTTTCAAATCTTTGATTTTGTTTTTATATCTTTCTATATTCAATGTTCCAGTAATCTAAACCAAGCTGTCAGTCAAATTTCAAAATGTATAATTACATTTATTATCTTTGTGTCAGAATAACAACCATACGAAATATTAATGTTTTAACCCAGCCGTCGAGTTGTCAGTTCCTCAGAATCACATGTCTATACAATTTTCTATACAAAAATTAGGAATATATGAAGTAAATATAAAAATAATATTTGTTTAACAGCATAGTGTAAGTAGAAAATTAGTGTTGTTTGTAAAAAGTCTAATGTATTTATAATGTCACTATAAAATTTAATTTCAAATCTTTGATATGCAAGGAGAAACTATTCCTATAAATCACTATTAAAAAGAATGATACAAAAATCATTAAAAATATTTACAAGTTGAACGACAAAAAATGTTCTCCTTACACTCATAAAATAAATAAAAGCTGTACACAAACCGATATCAAAATATCAACAAATATTTAATTATAAAACAATATAAAACTGGGAACTGAGTTACGGTCGGGCTTAGAGGTCGGTGATGGCGTAGACCGATTTCTCACGCTCGACCGGCTCTTTTCAGTAAAAATCTGATGATTCGAGTGTCTTGCATTTTTTTGAAAGCGTATTGTATTGTCCCGGACCATCAGACCGAGATTTCCTGCTTCCAAGTGTGTACGAGTTTCCTGCCTCACTCCTTCTGCCTGTCATGCCTGAAATGAATTCAAGTATAAAACAACAGTTTTTAATAGCAACATTTTTCTCCTCAATTACATTCAAACCTGTGTTTTGTAAAGGGAAAAAATTACTTCTTTTATTAACTAATTATTATCACTTTAATTATTTTGTTACATTTCAAAATGACCTTGCGAGACCTTGAGAGAGATGTTGTCATAGAATCATGCAAAAACAGTAAACTCAAAGATTACAATATGAATATATTACAAATAAAGCAAAAATGAAAGGTAAATCTAGGTTTAAATAGTTAAAGTGGAGTTTTCCAAGGCTTTGCAGCTAAAACCCTAAGAGTTTCTAATGGTACCACCTTTAACCGACTAAAATCGATTGAAGTCCAATCAATCCTATTCGGTTAAAGCCTGAAGAGTTTCTAATGGTACCACCTTTGACCGGCTAAAACCGAGGTCCAATCAATCCTAGTCGGTTAAAGCCTGAAGAGTTTCTAATGGTACCACCTTTAACCGGCTAAAACCAAGGTCCAATCAATCCTAGTCGGTTAAAGCCTGAAGATTTTCTAATGCTACCGCCTTTAACCGGCCAAAACCGAGGTCCAATCAATCCTAGTCGGTTAAAGCCTGAAGAGTTTTTAATGGTACCATCTTTAACCGGCTAAATCCAAGGTCCAATCAATCCTAGTCGGTTAAAGCCTGAAGAGTTTCTAATACTACAACATTTAACCGGCTATAACAGGGTCTACTTAATCCATTTCGGTTGAAGCCTGAAGAGTTTCCTTCTATCCTAGTTTTTTGAAGCCCAAAGAGTTTCTGATGCTACCACCTTTAATTTGCTAAACCGGGTCTGACCAAACCTAGTCGGTTGAAAACCCTGAAAACTTTCCAACAGTACCACTTTTAACCGGCTAAAACCGGTGTCCAATCAATTCTATAAGTTAAAACCCTTAGAGTTTCTAACGGTTCCATCTCTTGTAGTTAGTATTGCATCTTCTCTCGTCTGTGCATATTTGTTTTGTAATGTGTTGAAGAAATCTAAAAAATTAAGATCGAAAATGTGTTCAGTTCAAATTTCTATGAACAATTCCAAAACGTTTAACATAACTTGTAGCTTTAACTGTCTAGCATTGGTTAAACCCAGCCTTAGCCAGTTAAAGATAGAAGCATTGGAAACTATTTGCACTTTAGCGGCAAAGCCTTGGTTCCTACTTTCCCAATTAAACCTATGTTTACCTTTCATTATCGGTTGATCTGTAACATACATATCCCTCAGCGGAAGCATCGAAAGCATTTTTTCCTAACATATTTCACTTAATTGACCTCCAGCAAAGCTACAAGATGACCCAGTTTCTGAAATAAAATTCTCTCTCCTTAGATTTAATATCGCAGATGATCCAACATGTAAATGCAGTCTACAAGTCCATCAAACTTGAGATAATGTTATATTTGCTTGTCCAATGTTCCAAAGACCAAGGAGTATCTCAATAAAAGAGTTCTCATAAAATTTGGAAGATGGCCAGTCAAAAAGGCTGATTATATCAAAAAGAAAATAAAAAAATGTTAATGCAATAAATATTGAGATATAATTAAGTAAATAAAATGATTTTAAATGTATAACTTAATAAAAGCAATCATATTTTATTTATTTAATTGCTATGTAAAATGCTATCTTTGTAATAAATAATAATTAGAGTTATTAGTTCCTGTAACTTCATTACACGCATGTATAAGTTTTAAGGAGCATGCAAAATAAACTCCATTTCACCAGAATGTACTGGAGAAAGGGATAAAAAGAGAAAGGAAAACTATAAAAATAATAAAAACAAACAAGTTAAATATTTAACTATTAACTAATACTTAAAAGTAATAGCCTTAAATTAAATCACAACAATAAAATAAATAATGCCACTAAAAAATTGGTACTTTCACTTCCACATTGATTTTATTTTTATGTAAATACCTTAATTTAACGATTTAATACCGTTTATTTATTAAGGCTTACCAATGTCACCCCTCCTTGATGCTGAAGGATGTTCAAGAGTCCTAAATTTTCTATTTAGAGTCGCGTACTGGCTAACTCCGCTCCTATCACAGATACCCCCAGGTCCTGCTCCATGCAGGCCCCTGTAACCAGATACACACAATAGAATCGTATCGTTCGGTCCAGATTACAACAAATACAACTATTTCACTTTCAAATTCTAACAAATAATTTCTTTTTTTATATCTCGTGCTTAAATTCAAATGAATCCAAATATATATCTAATCTAATCAGCGACAGTAATGCAATTAACATCTCCCAACAAAATACCTAAGATTAAACACAGCTTAAAGTAAAATAATTATTGTAGAATGTAAACAATTTGAGTTAGGTATTTGCAAAATTACTTGTGTTTTAATTTTTTTTTTTAAAGGGACATTTTAATGAAAAATAGGTGTTGGACTGGATGTTATATACTCTTGTTCCACTTTTTATAAATAAATCAAGGAAATTGTTCTAAGTGAATTTCAATTGCAACACTAATGTGAATATAATACAATGTGAGCAGATGAAAAGCTGCTGTTGTTGACATTGCTCAAATCAAATAAATTAATTACAGAGGATGTATTAATTAATTACTATTCTAGTAAAGCGTAACTTCTGTTATAATGTTTAAATTTTTATGGTCTAAGTGTCGGTGAAAGCATGTTGAACTAATCAGCACTTTACTTTATCTTTAATTGGATCCATCTACTCTCTCCCAGGTTTAGTTGTCAATCTGTTTCATATCATCTCAGAGAGGAGCAAATGCCGTTAGTTGAACATAATATAATGTTAATTAAAGTGTCATTTTATATAAGCTTGTGTTAGATCATTAGTACCAGTAAAATCTGAATAATTTCAACATTCACTTCAAAACATCCCTTTAAATTTGTAAAAGGCGATATAGAACAAGAAGTGATTGCGTAAAATTATTCATAAAGTTTTTTTTACACTAATATAACGTTTCACTTTTTGTTATTAATTGTAATTTCTAAATTGACAATACATCTTGTTGATGTAGGAAATCCCAGGAGTTCAAGAACTTAAATCTATGATCAGCAAAAACTTTTTACCAGCTTATCATGCAATAATTAAGGTCACAGTTAAGGATCAGATGCATTTTTGCTTAACAAGCATTTTGTTATTTTGATACTGTGGTTTTTTTTTGGTTTTTTTTCCATGGCGATTTTTATTTACTTATAATTTTACATTTTAATAAAGTATTAATCCTTAATTGGAACTTTTTAGCCTTGCAAATTAAAAATTAAACTTAAATAGGCTAGTATCTATGTGAATTACATAAAACGATAAATCATAATTTATTTTTTTAAATTCTCATTCCAATCCTATCAAGCAAATTTGACATGATATTTCCTGTTAGATTACAAACTGACCAAACAACAGAAAGCCTTATCATTTAGCTAACACTTTTTACAGCATGCACATTTAATGAGGATTCGCAATGAGACATTAATAATATCAATTTACAATAACGTAAGCGACTAATTTTATTTAGCAAGAGATTTCTGTTTAATTATAAACGGTTTAACGTCTATTGAATTTTCATCTCATTTTATTAAAAGAGATTTATTAATGTGAAGTGTATTGTGAATTGTTCACACTTGTAAAAATGTGTGTGTAAACTTTACTATTATTAATTAGTGAAATTAATTGTACTTTTAATCTAATCTAAGGTTGAGATGAAAAAACTAGTGTCACAAATTCGAACCCACGACCTTCGGGTCAATATGTCGCTGCTGAGCTATCGTGACTTCAACCCATCGGACACCAACTCATCTCAACTTACCAGCCGAAAGTCGTGTGTTCGAATCCTGCTAGTGACACTAGCTGTTTCATCTCAACAAAGACCTTAGATTAAAAGTATAATTAATTTCAATAATAAATACCATCAGTTATTACTATTAAATACATATATGGATTGATATTACTATTATTAATCATGATCAAAAAAGGTATTTGTTACAACCTTACAAAACAGAAAGTGACACAGGTTCGGTTGGAAATATTCTTTATTGTATTAATCTATATATGTTTTAGTTTGTGTCCTATTAACCAAAGTATTTACTTTCATTGATTTATTATACATTATTATTTTATTCGTTATGCAAAGTATGGTTGAAGTGAAAAAACTAGCGGGACCCATGACCTCCAGAACAGTACCTCGGCACTTTTATTACTTGAGCTCTCGTAACTTCAGAAGTGCCGAGGTACTGATCCGAAGATCATGGGTTCGGGCCCGCTCGTGACACTAGTTTTTTCAACTCGACCATACTTTGCACACAAAAAAATAAATCAATTCTTTATTACAATTTATGCATGTATAATAATAATATAATATCCCCAAAATATGTTGTTGCAATCGTGTTTTTAGCATCTAGACAATGATCTTATTTAAAGAATTGTAACGTGCATTTCCCAACATCATTTATGGAGCAGTGCAGTGCGTAAAAGCAAATAAGGCAGGAATTTTAAAATTATGAACAATTTGTGCAGTAAACAACTAGGAAAATAAAAGTACAACAAATATTGATTATCTATTTATATAAGTTGTGTATTGACAAAGAATAAAAAATTTAAAATGCTTATTAGTATGCTAGGAACCAATTACAATGGCCTACCATGCAAAGGCTTTTTTCATGCCAAACATTGTTAACATACAATTTTTAGTTCATTTACAATTATTTTCAACTTTTTGTTGATCACAATAAATAGATTAAACTAAAAATGTATTGGATTGGCGTGCTAATGCAATTCACAATGCATTACAGACAAATAAAATAAAAAACATTCAACACCTCCAGCAGAAGACAACATAAAAACGGTTGTAAAATGTTTGCAACTGAAATTCACGCAAGCAAAAAAAGGCTCCAGGGCTTTGTACAAAAAAAAAATTAAAAATATAAAAAGTCAATTGTAAAAATGATTGATGTTGATTAAAACCAAAATTTTATAGTTCAAAAAATAAGTAGAACAAGGAAATCACACCCAACTCATCATCCGCCTATTATTTTTATATTCAGTCAATTTGTACGTAAAAATTATGAAAGTAGTATTTTTAAGAAACAAAACCTAAAAATATTTTTTTAAATAATAATAATAAAAATATTATTTAACTAATATTGATTTTTTTAAGTAACCCTCATCAAAGTGAGAGTGAAGACAAATAAACTGATAACTACGTGTTTAGGTAAGGCGGAGTTTGAGCATGCGTGTGCGAGAATGGAAAAGGGGTGCCATACGACCCTTGGCCATGGAGCGTCCGTGCTGCAATTGCCTGTGAAGCTGCTGTAGGTGGTAAGAACGGATCCTGTTCATCCACCTGTAAATATTCTCTCCTGAAACAGACACAGTTATTATTGTTTTAACATTGACATATTCAAAAAACACTTAAAAATTAATATTTGATAGTTATTTGATTAATATTTGATAGAAAAAGTTGTAATAAACACAAATATATTAGCAATGACTAAGTTGCCTGCCATTTGAATCTATTTATTAAAAATTAATTTTTTCTCTCTCAAAAATGAGTGATTTTTTGTTACTTGGTGGTGACTGCGTTAGTCAAGATGTTAGTAGTAGACTCTCAGCGTACCACCATGGGTATTGGTTCGATTCCCACCATAGAAAATTGGAATTTTAGGCCTATTCCCCTCCCCCAAAAATAATATAAACCTACATGGAATCCCCCCCCCCTAATATGTAAATCATAAGACCATAAGACCCTAATATATATTGGATTTTTCTTTGTTGTAACCTGATGGTTTTTTGTTCCCTAAACCCCCACACTCTGCATCTTAATATATTTATTTATTTATTTATTTTATTTTTTTTTTTTTTGCAACAACAGAGGTCATATAAACCCTCAGGGTGCTGGTGTTTTTGAAAAAAGCCCAGATTTATAATGTATATATACTACAATATGTATAATAACCTTCTTAAAACCAACAGCCTATTCAAATTTTGAAACTTTTTTTTCAAATTAATGGAACTTTTTTAAGTACACAATGTGGAGAAATTCTTAACTAGTGTTTCACTATGTGTTGCTTTATGACAGACCTGATAACTGTCTTTTTTCTGAGGGCAATATTTTAATAAGATCTGTACTATAATGTAATAATGAAGTAATAACCCAAGACAATGTAAATTCAGTAATTTTATTCCAAAAAATAAGTTCTTTTTTTTTCTTTTTTGCGTAAGTGTTGGCACATGTTATGATGAGTAACCAACATAGACTTCTATTGAAGATCGTCTTTGAGTGATGAATAATCCTTACCTTTTTGAAATGCATATTCGCAAGTATAATATTTTACCAGCAGTTATCTTATATTAATTAAATATACTGTATTATTTCTTTAATAAAATCAATTAGTATTGCTTTTCTATCAATAGTAAATAAACAACTTGTGAAATAGATTAAAATGTTCTTGTATTTAAATGTGAATTCATAGTTCTCTCGATGAGAATGTTTTTGTTATAAATGAAATAAACAACTGAAATAACTGAATAATCCATGAAACCAGGGAGAAATGAATTTGCACTATTTTTTTATCTATCGCTGCTTTACAATCAGAACTAGTTTTTATTATTTCTGAACCGATTTGCTTTCCTTTCACAACAGGTTTAAAGCATTCATTTATTTCACTGCTGGTGCTCTCAGCATCTGACAAGCCGTCGAATATGACTGTGGTGGACTCAAAATCTTTATGTATAAAATCTTCCATTTCTTCGTCATCTTCGACATTCATTTCAACCTGTTTTGAACCTTGAAAGTAGCTCTTTTTCTTCTTCCTCATTTTGTTGAAGCGTCTCATTTCGGACAGTTTTATGTGGGCGAAAGAGTCGTTTACGTGAAAAAGATTCATTTTGCTGAACGTGAGAAGGTCGGTCTCCGCCTTATTCCCTTTTGACTCTTCATCGCAAATGATAAGCGATTCCTTTGACATGTCAGATTCAGCACGAAGTACTACTGGTTCCAAGCCGCGTACCATTCTCCAGTTTTCTGTGCTTAGTACTTTACTTACTCCAAGACTTAGGGTGGATTCGGATCTTCGTAATACCCGGATATCCTCCATTTGGCTTATTTCAGGATTTTCCATAAATTAGAAAGATTTAGGAATGAAATAAATTTTTCATGTTCATGAAAACTGCACTTGTCAGGTTATAGAACAAGCATCACTGAAAGACAATTTCCAATTAGTAAATAAACATTTTGAACTATACAACTGGTTTGCTTATTGATAGAGGTAGAAAAAAAACTCAAACACTTATTTTGGTGATTAGAATGATCTAGAGTGGTGAACATTTATGCTTAGCTTGCATCAATCTAATCATCGTGGTCTGCCTATTGTCGGAATTGCCAAAATATATCGCAGTACAAAAATTTTCCGCGGTGAAAAAGTAGGCCGCTCAGTGTAGCCAGGGTAAATAATCAAGGTGAGAATTAATCAATTTCACCAGAGTTATGTGTTTTATTACACAATCGACTAATAGAGAATGAGAATTCAAATGTATTAAACAGAAATTTTTAAACATACATATATAAAATATTGAAATTTTGCTTACCTTAGATACTCAAAAGAAAGCCCGATAAGGTGACCGGGAGAAAAGAAAGCCAATAATGTAGAAAACTAATTTTAATTAGAAAATTGAATATAAAAAGTAAAACTAAAAGGCAATTCTATAACAATAAAGCTAATATACATTGCATTTAACAATATTAATACATCTATTTGTTAGAGGCAGCTTATTAGTGCCAGTAAGATGTTATAACTTGCACAAGTTTTCACTATAAGCCATGCAAGTAAAATTAGTGCTTCTAAAACCACAGCCGTTTTTTAGGTGTTGGAAACTTGAACTTTTGGGGTTTAGTGGCATCAATTGAAACTACTAACCTGGACTTTGAGTAGCGCCTGTAAATTTAGATAAAAAAATGTCTAAGCAATCGAGAAATAATTTTCAAACACAAAAATCTAGTATGTATATTTGTTTTAATTGTTTATAACAATTAATTTTGCAATGCTCACGGACAATTTATTGCCATTTTCACTTACTTTGCAACTTTTTAATAGCACTAAATACACTTTTTTAATATACATACGTACAGATTTAGAATTAAAAAATTTAAATATAAAAAGCAATAAAAAGTATGCTGCAATGACCTACGACCATTCCAAAGCACCAAAGCATTTAGAATAATCTATAATTAAGCTCTTCACCGTCACATGCTAATGTAAAAGATATCATGCAGAAAGAAAGAAAACTGAATACTGTATGTGCAAGAAAACTAGTAGAAAAAAATAATTACACTTGTCACAACTCTGGACAGGTCCATTTTGCTTGTAAATCTGTAGTATTCTTCAAAATGTTTTGATTTTGTTCATTTTTTGTTCTCAGAGTGTTTCATGTGTTTACTGAGTGAACACCATGGTAACAAATTCATTTTATTACTAGATATAATAAACAGTAGTAACTTACTTTTTTCTAATATATATCCACGTGTGCGAGTCCAACCACACAAGGATAGCAAAGAGAAATCCCGCTCCAACACTTGCAGCCAACATAAAAGTCAATCCAAATCTGTAAACCGTTATTTTTTTAGTCAACATCAGTCTGCATCAACGGATGTAGAGAGGATAAAAAACTTTTTCATTTTGATCTGAGTCAAATTGATTTGACAAAAAAGCACTTTCCAATGTAAATATGAAAACAAAAAACAACAGTAACATGTGTTGCATTTTATCTCTCAGTGTTGAAAGAAATAAAATTAAAATAATTTTAAAATTGACACTGTACATTCATAAAAGAAGTAGATTATGGGCAAGTAAAAAAATGTAAAACTCACAGAGCCATTTCACAAACTGCATGGAGCCCAGCCATATATTGGTTGTGAATTTGGGTGCAATCCAGTTTTGTTGTAAGACTGTTGATTAGGTTTGACGCTAGTTTTATCTCCTTTGCAAGCATATCCAGCTTGGGGTGTAGCTGGTGAGGTTTATACAGCTGCCTAGCAATTCGAGTCATAGAATTTACACCATCCGTGACATTGCTTATTGCCTTTGACGCTTTTAGCAGAATTACCCAAAACGGGTTTTGATCTCCATGCTCACAAGTCATATAATAGTTTAGATAGTCATGGTGTAAGGGTGCTGGTGCTTCCAGCTTAATTAGCACCATAGGGGTTTCACATAAATCTCCAAGCGCCTTCAAAATTATATTATTGAAATTAAATTAATTTTCCAAAAAAAGTAATCTTTTTTAATACTTACAACAGATGCTGTTAAATACAAGGATGCCATCAGCCATGAAAATATAACAGCGAACAAACCAAATACAGAAAATCTAAAATATAAAAAAAAATGTCATTTCACAAATTCCGTTGAAAAATAAGAAAGAAAAATAAACACGTACGTGATGAGAGCACATCGTGAGTGCCTAGCGACTCCAAATAAAAGTATGACACAAAAGACTAGTAATATGCTTAAAACAACCATCGTAACAGGCCACCTGATATCTTCAGCTTTTTGTAAGGTATCTAATGCAGGTGCCAACGTTACTGGGTTTAGGGGTCTAGAAATGTCTTGAAGGCTTGCCAGTGCTACGCTAGTGTTTGATGTCATCTCTTCTAACACCCTCAAGAGCACGGCCCGGGCTGTTTGGTTGCTCACGGGCTCATCAAAAACGTCTCCTAACTGGGTAAGGAGACGCTTCACTTTTAGAGTGAGGGTCGAATCAATAGCCAATGTCTAAAATCATAAGTGATAAATCGGTTTGCCATGTGTCAGCACCTATACAAATCTCCTTACTTGATTTTTAACACTGCTAATCGTTTCGTGCATGGCTCGGCCTGCAGTGAGCAGCTCAAGCATCCCATTGTGAACATCATCATTTCCGTAAAGCCCTACTCCTACGGCCCCACTATGGAAAATAATCAACAAACATGTAAATATTTTGATAATTTTCTTGTTGAAAATCATTCAAAAGACTATCATAACAAAAATGACACAATGAAGGGTTTTGTTACTCATGTAAAATGTTAAGAAAGAAAACTAGTTTATTATGTTCTGGGAGATATTCTCCCCTAATAGAAATAATATAATTTTAAAAATATTTTTTACAATAAAGTTTTTCATTTAAAATTATGCATGAAATTTTTAAGAAAATTAAATACTAATAATAAACTAAAATTAATTTTAAAAAATAAAATCAGGTCTAAGTAGTATGCAATATCAATTTATTGATAAATATATAGAAAATAAGTAGATAAATAGAAATTTAAAAAAAGAACTAAGGAAAAGAAAAGAATATTAGTGAACATGGTGAAAATCTAAACTTAAAGTTAGACAAAGAAGCAAAACATTTCTTCTGAGAATCAACAGAAAAAGAAAGAGTAGTGATTCTTTTTGAAGCTATTTTAAACAGAAGATTTTTGAAAAAAGATGGCGATTTTGCATTTTCGAAATCATTCTACGAACAATTTGTTATAATTTTTACAGGCAGTAATAATAAAAGAATTTTGAGAAAAATGATGTTTTGTTTTTAGGCAGATAGAGATGAGCAGGATTCGAATGAGTTGAGCACGATCATCAATTTTAAAAAAAGTGTCACATCAATTATGGAAATAAAAAGCATGTTATAAAATAATTCCTACCTAACAATTTATTGGATACTTTATTGATTTTTTATTTGGGTTCAATGTTCGAATCTCTGCAGCCCCAAATTCCAAGACCGTTACATTAATGAGTAGCCTTGTCATTGTATCCACTGTTGCAGCCATCAACTTTTTAGAAAAGTATTCACAAAGTTTCTATCATGTCTACATCTTTATTCAAGAATTGATTCAAGACCAAAAGGTTTTATTTCAATTAGTAAAAAAAGCTTGTACATATAAATACAAAACAGGATGTTGAGATATTTGATAAAATATAAATAAATGATTGTTGTGGGTTATTTTGCTACTGATTTCAAGTTTTTTTTTATAGATATTATACGTTTTATTACTGCTGAACAACAATGTACATGAAACACAATATGTTACATAGATTACACAGAAATAACAACAATAAAATAAGAGGCGAAGCTATCCAGTCACAATACTCGTAAATCATTGATTAATTAAAATCATTCTCACTATTAGCACTGTCCGAAAGCAGGCTTAGACATTGAGGAGGATTAATGTGAAGAGATGTGAAGGAAAGTTGTATGTGAAAATTAGAATAAGATTGTAGATTTGAGTGAAATTTTTTGTAGTTAGATCTTGCAACTTCTTTTATATCATTTAAATCATTATGGATGGCATAGTTAGAAACATATAATGGGGCATTGACAACCGATGCAAGGATAGGGTCTGGATTTTGCAGAGATAGGAAGGTTTGGTTGAACCCGTTCTGAACCTTTGTGCCCCCATATTGGCTTCAGCATTGAATTGTACATATACAAGCATTTGTTGTCAAGGGAGAGTTTAGATCTGTTGTCCAGTAGTCTTTTAAGCAATCATTTATTGAACTTCACCTCTTTTTTCGTTTTACTTTTTATTGCCTATAAAAATTTTCTGAGTTAAAAGCCACGAAAAGCAGTACCAGCATTGATCCCGAAATACCTTTAGGTAATAAAAAATAAAACAAAAAATTCAACAACCAAAATAAAGGTGAAGGAGTTTTATTTTTTAAATAATCAGTATCATCAATTTATGTCCTTTTAAGTTATGTATTGGGTTTCAGATCTATCGCCTGCCTAAATGCAGTTCCAAGGAAGCAGATATTTTCAGCATTTTCTTTTTTTAAACACATTTGTAAATATGTCGGGTTCGAGGGCAAGGCCACTGGATTTGAACCCAAAACCTTTACCTTACAGTGAGTATAAACTAAACTATTGCAGCCCCCTTGGTAAAGTTGATGTTTTAGGATTTTGTGGTTTTTAGTTTAATTCACCATTTTTTGAAACTCGTTCAAGGGATTTAGGTGTGTCTGGAGGGTTCAGTGAGCTATAACGTGTTTAGAGTTGGAGAATAGAATGGACAGCATCATCAGATTATGTAATGTTAGTGGTGTACCGATGGTGTTAGCAGTACAAACTATACCTGTAACAGATTAAGGATGCTACCCTGAGGGAAGCCCAAGTCCCCCTCTTGCCAAAAGGAGAGTGAGAGGATCCTACTCTAAAGTACCTGTAGGCATGGTAGCACTGGATAGAGGATGGGGAAGTGGGTAGGATGCCTCAAGTAAAATAATAATACAAATGTGAATCATATGTTGACAATATGTGGCAGAGAAAGGGGTTAAATAAACAAAATACAAATTATCCCTCGAATGGTTGTTTTTATGAACTCACCAGCAGAACATCGTGAAGAAGGACAGTGTCCATTTGAGGATGACAATACTGTGTTTCGGCCTTGGCTTCCGGTCGCAGCATCTCGTACAGAGGTACAGCAGGAGGAGGAGCAGGGTGAAAATAAGCCAAAGGGCTGGTATAGAGCCAAGGATTCCGAGTGACTGAAAACAAATGTCGGTAGTTTTATAAATGTTTCAGTTTAGCAAGACAGCTGTATGATGAGCCCCATGAACAACAGGGAAGCCCAATTGACATCGTTATTAATTTCATTATATTTAAATCATCACATCCTGCTTTACCTTTCAACTGGATCTTTTAATTCAACACATTCTCCTTAACAAAAACAAACTATGATTTAGTTTTATTTAAGATTAAAGATGATTATCCAGAACACAATTAAGAGAGGCATAATAAAAAAAAATATATAATAAAAATAGTGTTAATATTAAAAACCTTTAAAAAACAAATATTGGGTAAAAAATTTAAAAATACTTAATAATGACTTAAACAACTACTTGCAGGATTGAAAATCCTCCCCTCTATGGCTTACATACTTGAAGATGAAGCAGCTCTCTTTTGTACTGCAACGAAGAAGGGGGTTTAGAAAGGAAGTTAGGGATTTCATTGCAGCTGTCATATTTTCTCTAACTAAAATAGATTAACGGTTAATTGTAACTAAGCATATGGTTCTTAACCCAAAAAGCTGAATAAATTCATCTTTTTGACCAAACTTGGTATTATCCTCTCCATATATCAGTTTAATATAATTGTAATAATTTAATTAATTGGAATAATTTACTCTTATTCATCAATAAAAACTACTGTTTCAATTGGGTACAATTTGATCCATTTTTTGGGTGATAGATGAAATAATACACGCACCTCCAAGTAGACATCGCTGTCCGGGGCAAATGTAGAATTTACAAGATGCAGTGAAATGTTAATATGAGGGAGAGCATGGAAAAACTTGGCCAAAGGTGGAGAATTATAGTTGGTTGGTGGATGCATGATCTAGCAGACCCCCAACCCTCCGCTACATCATACCCTGGAACAAAAAAAATAGTTTTTAGATTTTTCATATGTTATATAATTCTAAAAGGAAATCAATTCACCAAAAGAAAACCGTGGAGGAGAAATGTAATCTCAGATTTCAAGATTGAAAATGTCTAACTTGCGAACCAGGTACCGGTTTCTTATAAGTGTAAAATTAATACTGTTAAAATGCAATTTTGTTTAAAAAACCGGCATTTTGCAGAAATGGCCTATTTACTGGTTGTTTAGCAGGATTTCATTAAATCATTCAAATACACACGACACATCATATCTTGATAGTTGATATTACTTTATAAAAGATCAGCAACGGAAAACAAGTTAATTCTTTCTATAATTCCAAAATAAACGAATGTTTATTGTCTTACATCATCGTTTGTTCTTTATAAACACAAATCCTTTCAGAAATCCCTTTAACTGCAAGTTTATACAACTCTTTCTCTGTTGTATATATACTCAAAGAAAAAGAAGAACAAAAACCAGACACTCATATTTTGTCGATTATTTCAAACAATATGTATGTATTTTTATCGTTATATTAATAACAATGTACATACTTATTTTAATGTAAACCAAATTAGAGATTCTTATGGTGAATTATGATGGTTTGAAAGATAATTAATCAAAAACACCAGAAAATCATTTAGTGATACAATAAATTGTTAGTTAAATTTTAATCATCACTAACTTGTTATCTGGTGTTTTGTAGAATTTTCTTACGAATACCTTCTTGTGAAAAATGAATTTTTCTTATGGTGAATTTTGATGGTTTGAAAGAAAATTCACCACAAACACCCAAAAAAAATTTAATAATAGAGGAAATTGTTATTTTAATTTATTTATCACTAAATAGTTGATAAAATAAATTGTTAGTTAAATTTATTTATCACTAAATGGTTTTCTGATATTTTGGAGAATTTTCTTAAGAACTTTTGCCTTCTAGTGAAAAATGAATTTGTTTAATGGTGATAAAATAAATTGATAAAAAATAAATAAATAATAATAAATAATGATAATAATATAAATAATGATAAATTGATAAAATAAAGTGTTAGTTAAATTTATTTATCACTAAATGGTTTTCTGATATTTTGGAGAATTTTCTTAAGAACTTTTGCCTTCTAGTGAAAAATGAATTTGTTAAAAGGTGAATTATGATGGTTTTAAAGAAAATTCACCATAAACACCAGAAAATCATTAAGTGATAGAAGAATTGTTAATTAAATTTTAATCTATCACCAAATGATTTTCCAGTGTTTTGGAGAATATTGTCATGAGCCTTTGCCTTCTTGTGAAAAATGAATTTTTTTATGGTGAAATATGATGGTTTTGGAAGAAAATACACAACCTCGAAAAGTTAAAAAGTTAAATTTTAATCTATCACTAAATGATTTTCTGGTGTTTTGGAGAATTTTCTTGTCAAGCTTTTCCTTTTTGTTAAACATGAATTTTTCTTATGGTGAATTATGATGGTTTTAAAGAAAATTCACCATAAACACTAAAAAATCATTTGGTGATAGAATAAATTGTTAGTTAAATTTTAATCTATCACTAAATGATTTTCCAGTATTTTGGAGAATTTTCTTATGAACTTTTGCCTTCTAGTGAAAAATGATTTTTTCTTATGGTGAATTATGATAGTTAGAAAGAATTCACCATAAACACCAGAAAATCATTAAGTGATAGAATAAATTGTTAGTTAAATTTTAATCTATCACAAAATGATTTTCCAGTATTTTGGAGTATTTTCTTATGAACTTTTGCCTTCTAGTGAAAAATGACTTTTTCTTATGGTGAATTATGATAGTTAGAAAGAATTCACCATAAACACCAGAAAAGCATTAAGTGATAGAATAAATTGTTAGTTAAATTTATTCTATCACTAAATGGTTTTCCGGCGTTTTGATGATTTTTCTTTCAAACCATCATTATTAAATCTTTTTTATTAAAACTCGGCTCGTTAATTTGATTAACATTGAAATAACTGAGTTGTAATTAATATAAATATAAAAATATAGAGATATAGTTTCTAATAAACAACAAAATATTAGGGTTTTTTTCTATAATGCTATTTATTTTATTCTTTGCTAATACACTAAATTGGAACTACATAAGAAACATTAAACTGGACAATTTAACAGATGTGTTTAGGATCAAACAGAAAACACTCAAGGTTTTACTGCAAATTTATTAGTGCTGATAATAATAATATTAATAGTCCTGACGAAAGAAAGACTTTCTGACGACACTAGTATTTGTAGGACGGTCCAGAGTGCACAGCACCGGGTGGTGCATTGTTTTCTCCGCGGTGTAAAAGGGGAAAAGCTCCGCTGCTTACGCTATTGTCTTCTCGTCAAAGGACACGATCTCTGATAAGGGGCACAAAACGCTATTTGTTAATGCACGTCAAAACCGAAATTGAATCTCAGAGAGGTATTTGAAAAGGATCGCTTTTAAGTCCGTTTAATTATAATAAACGCGTGCAGGACGCGCCGTTTAAAATCCTTATATTTCCTACCCTCGAGGACTTTCAATGAAAATCCTGTCCTCCTATCTTTTTAGCCGGTTTTAATTGTTAGCCGAACTCCGCACCAAAATTTCCATGTTGCAATAGCGGAAAAAGTATTGGCGAAAAACGGAAATCCAAATTATGACATATAAATCAGAGAACTTTTTTGTTAAAAAGTAGACAACACAAGGCTCTGAAGATGATCTCAATAAAGATCGAAACGTTGGCACAATAAAGAAAATGTATTTTCTAAAACTACGTCACACCAAACCGCATCTCACGATCTCCAAATAATTATGACATAATAACGATATTGTTTTTTATTAAATTTGATTTTTTACAGATCAAAAGTGGAAGAAAGAAAAATATAGAATGGGATATTATATAAAATTTCTCCTGAAATTATTGAAATACATACACAAGTATGGTTATGTTACGTACTTCGTAGTAGTGACACTGATAATTTTTTTAGTTCTTTTAAATCGAAGAGTTTGGCTACAATCGACAGTAGGCCAACAGAAATGTCAACATTACAGTGAAGTAGAAGAAAACACTATTTTAAAAGAGCATTCATTAATCATTTCATACGTGCGTGCTCCATTTCATCACAACGGAGTTGATAATATACAAACGTTTAGGCCAAAATTTAACTCATACTCTTTAATTTTGTATAAACGAACAGATAATGGGATATAATTTATTAATGAATTGGACTGTTAGCAACGGTTGTTAATTAAAAGCTTTTGCTGGGAAGAACTCTGTAACTAAATTATTAATATGCTCCTACCTCACAACACAATAGACGAACCCCACCTTGAAGCATTGCTTTATTTTTACATTTCGAGGTACAGTAATTACTAACTATACCATATCAGTGAAATTTGAAAAATAAGACACTACAGTAATTACGTTTTTAAATTAGTTTATTTGTATATTAAACTAAATCTTCATGATACATGGCTGAACTTGCTCAGCAATTTCAGCCTTCCGTCTCCATGGTTTTTACTAATCTTATCTCCCTCACCCGTCCGCTATCGGACTGTATCCGTATACACTACGTTCGCTCATTAAAACCTATCTGCTGAGCCAGAACGATACCATACACTCGATCGGTAACACTGGTGTAAATATGTAAAATCGACTGGCGTCATGTGGCCTCCACAAATATGAAAGTACACCCTTTTGAGCAATAGTTATACCGCTGTAATTTCAGGATTTTAATAATATAGGATGGTATCTCTCTAAGTAAACTGAAGTACTTAGGACATTCCTAAAATTACAGACACCTACTAATTCATAATTTATGACCGTTTTTAAGAAATCAATTTTATATTAGGATAATATTATAATTTATTTTGAGTCCATATACAGCATATTCATATTTAGAATTTACATTTTCCTTAGAGGCCAATTTAAAATTGAACCTCTCATGTACACATAAATATTAAACTTAAAAAACTTAAACGAGTTCAAATAAATTTGTTTTCTCTTGGGGATATGGACTGGTGGTCGGGTTCATCTAGTAATTCAACCTTTTGTCCTGGGCAAAATTTGTTTACCAACTTGAACTTAATAAAAAAGCACAAAAAGATAATTTGAAAAAATAAAATAAAATAAAGACGTTAAACATAGCGAACGACCAAAGCAGAAAAATTTGGCAAAGTATTTACACTAAACCCAGACAAAAGAAAAAAAGAACGACAATACAGAAGTTAGTTTATTTAATAACAGAGCACAAGAAAATTACAACGTAAAACTCAAACAAAGAGACAACAAACATAATGAACACCAAATCAGAAAAATTACGTTGAATTTTTTTCTCTTTTGTGTGTGCTTTTTTATTGGGGTAAAGTTGGATTTTGCAAGTTGCATACTTTGTCCAATTTTCCTGCTTTGCTTGTTCGCTATGTGTAGTGTCGCTTTTTTTCGTTTTTTTTTTAATTATCTTTCATTTTTTTTGCTTTTTTATTAAGTTCTAGTTTCAGAAAATTTCAGAAAACGGTGGTCGGCCATGGTTTTTTCCTTGCCTACATCAATTTCTTCATCTTTGAAAAAAGTAATTAAGGTTTGGAAATATAAGTTTAGAATCACCTAGTATGTTTTTTCAACTTTGAAAAAAACTTTTTGAATGTTCTCGCTACTAAAATACTTATTTCACGAACGTTATAAGTTTAGAATCACCTAGTATGTTTTTTCAACTTTGAAAAAAAATTCACTAATTTCGTGGTCCGCTTGACCAATTAATATATTACAATTAATTAAGGTTTTTAGTTGAGATCTAAGAGTCAATGGTACGACCGGGATTCGAACCCACGATCTTCGGCTAGATACGCCACTGCTCTACCACTTGAGCTATCGTGACCTCGATCCACTCGGACACGAACTTCCCATCTCAACCCCACCTTTTGAATTTGCCCTCCTTTTTGCCATTTTTCATTAGTGAAGTTAATGAATTAAAATGAAGTATACTTCACTAAAGCACTCCG